TGAGTCTCCTAATAGGCCTAGATTGATGTGGTTGGTGACTCTCTCTCTCTCTTTCTCTCTCTCTCTCTCTCTCTCTCCTCTCCCCTCTCTCTTTCTATCTGTCTCTCTCTCTCTCTCTCTCTCTCTCTCTCTCTCTCTCTCTCTCTCTCTCTCTCTCTCTCTCTCTCTCTCTCTCTCTCTCTCTCTCTCTCTCGCTCTCTCTCCCCCCCCCTTTCTTTCATATTTCTCAAAGGCTTATATTGAAGACTTTCTTTCCCGTGTTTTGAGTAAAACAAAATCACTAGTCTGAGTATCTTCTCCTTCCTCCTTACATTTCTTTCCCCTTCCTTTATCCTCTTTTCAACAACCCCTCTCCCTCTTACCTCCTCCCCCCCTCTCTATCTGTTCGCCGCCCCCTACCCCCCCTTGTTCTCCTTGTATGCACGCACAAATTTGTTTTCGCTCGCGATAAATCCACGAAGGAGAGAGAGGAGGGGAAAGAGAGGAGGGAAGGATGGAGGGAGGGAGGGGAGAGAGAGGAGGAAAGGAGGGAGAGGAGTGGAGGGAAGGAGGGAGAGGAGTGGAGGGAAAGAGGGAGGGGAGAGGAGGGAAGGAGGAAGGGAAGAGGAGGGAAGGAGGGAGGGAGGGAGGCGAGAGGAGGGATGGAGGGAGAGGAAAGGAGGGAAGGAGGAAGGAAAGAGGAGGGAAGGAGGGAGGGGAGAGGAGGGAGGGAGGGAGGGAGGAAGAGGGAGAATAAGAGGGATAAGGGAAGAAAAGAAAAGGAGAGGGAGACGGAAGGAAGAAGAGAAAATGAAGGGAAAGGGAGAAGGAAGAAAAAAGAGGGAAGAAAGAATGATGGAGAGAACGAAGATGAAGGGAAGTGAAATGGAAGAAAAAAGAGAAGGAGGAAAGAAAGAAAGAAGGAAGAAAGGAGAGAACGAAGGAGAAGAGGAGGGAGAAGGATAAAAAAAGGGGAAAAAAGAGGGAGGAAAGAAAGAAAGAAAGAAGGAAGAATGGAGAGAACGATAAAGAAGGGGATGTGAACAACTCACAATTACTGGATCAAATTATGCAAATTTCTGTCTCTTCTTCACATTTTCTTATTCTTCTCTTCCTATTTTATCTTCCTCTTTCTCTTTTATTCTTGCCTTTCTCTTTTATTCTTCTTTTCCTCTTTTATTCTTCTTTTCCTCTTTTATTCTTCTCTTCTTGGCCTTTTGTTATTGGTGTCATTTTATTAATATTATTATTGTTATTATTATTATCTTGATGATGATGATGATTACTATTATCATTTTCATTATTATTACTGTTGTTATTGTCATGATTATCATTATCATTGTTGCTGTTATTATTGTTATTACTATTATTATTTTATTATTATTATCATTATTATCATTATTATCATGACCATAATCATAATCATGGTTTTACACGTAATCATCATTATCATTATTATCATTATTATTATCACGTTTTTCACGAATACGGAAAGAGAAAAAAAAAAGACCGAAGAGAAATATCAAAGGAAATAAAATGAATAGGAATGAAAGGAGAAGAACGACTGACTAAAAGAGAATAAGAATAAAAGGCATAGAGAGAGAGAGGAAGAGAAGAGAGAGAGAGAGAGAGAGAGAGAGAAGAGAGAGAGAGAAGAAGAGAGAGAGAGAGAGAGAGAGAGAGAGAGAGAGAGAGAGAGAAATAGAGAGAAATAGAGAGAAAGAAAGAAAGAAAGAAAGAAAGAGAAAATAAGAGAAAAAGAGAACAGAAAAGAAGAGACAACGAAAATGACAATCCTCCCAACCAAAGACAAGAAGCAGAGAGACAACGACATAGCGGCCCGAAGGAGATAAACCGAACGAGGACCCAGACTCCGGGAGCCACAGCACGCCCTCTTCCCTTCCTTCCTGCCTGCCTTAACGCCCGACGGAGGCTATCATACGTCAATAATAAAGTGGAATAATCTCCCTGGCGGACAGTCGTGGCCTCACATCACAAAGCCCATTCGTGGTCCTTATGCTCGGGCCATGAGACCTGTCCGACACGCAAGTTCTCGATTAGTTGCCGAGGAGGAACAGCTGGTGCCAGTCTGTCTCGCAGCCACCTGGATATGCTTGCTTGCTTGCTTGCTTGAATGCTTGAATGCTTTGCCGTAGGGTTTGGCGCTTGTTTCTCCCTTTAATTCGTTTTCCTTTTTCTTTCTTTTTTCGTTTTTTTTTTCTATATTCGTATTTTTATATTATTTTGATTGAGTTTGATTGCTTGTCTCCTTTTGTTTTGCATTTGCTTTCACATTTCCTTCACTTTCGTCCGGTTGTCTTTCTCTTCTTTCTCTTCCTTTGCTTTTTGTTTTTCCCTCTGTTTTTATAAGTCGAATTGCTTTCTTGCCCCCCCCCCTCCCCCTCCTTCTATACTGCTGCTTGCTTGCCTGTTTCAACCTTTGCTTCGTCGTCTGCTTGGCGCTGTCCCTGCTTGTGGAACTCGGGTTTTTTGCATCGCCGAGGAAATGCGAGCAGGGCGAATTTTTAGCAGGTTTTAATTACGATATTTAACCACGACATACATTCATCATTTCTCTCTCTTCGCCCTCTTTCTCTTTTTTTTTTTTTCTTTTTCTTTCTTTTTTCCTTTCTGTTTCTCTTTCTCTCTTATTCTGTCTCTTTCGCTCTCCTTTCTTACCCACTCATTCACTCACTCCCTACCTCCCTCCCTCCCTCCCTCCCTCCCTCCCTCCCTTACTCACTCACTCACTCACTCACTCACTCACCCACTCACCCCCGCACTCTCACTCACTCTTACTCATATCCATAATCCCCCCTATCAAACGTCCCTGCCTTCCGCTTCCTCGTACAGATAATAATTCCCTAATCTTTATGGCAACGACTACAGACTACCCGGGGCTACGTTGACTACCCAAAAGTGCCACTCAGCCTCTCGCTTAACTACCGGCACTCGGCACTCATGTCAGGCACTCAACTCAGCTGCTTGTTATGGCCCCGAGTCGCGTCCGTTGCGAAGAGGGAGAGGCAAAAAACGGAGAAATGAGAGGGGGTATGGTGATAGCTCGATGACGGGAGGGAGAGAGGGATGAAGGGAGAAAGAAAGGGAGGAAGGGGAAATGGTGATAGCGGGGAGAGGGGTTAGATAAAGGGGATTATAAAAAGGGGGGGAGAGGAGGGGAGAAAGGAGGAATGAGAGAGAGAAAGATTGAAGAATAGAATACTTGTTTTATCGTCTTGAAATATGCAAAATAGGGGACGAAGATGGATGGCGAAAATGAAAGGAAAATAAAGGAAAGGAAAAAGGTGATAGTTGCGATAAACGAAAGAAGAATGGAATAAGAGTAAAAGTAAAAAAAAAAGGAAAAAAGAAGAAATATATATATGTATATATATATGTACACATACATATAAAATAAGACACATTTTTTTTTTTACCATCACATTAATATCTCACTGATTTTTTATTATTATTATATATAGTTTATTCATTTATTTATTTTATTCATCGGTGAACTATACTCTCTTGCGTGACCCGGATATAAGCCCAGTACATGAAAGCCGTGTTTCCAAGACAGAACAAATCACAAATTAAAAGTACTCGAAGCACTAACTCTGCACCATTAAAGGTACTCAAACAATACTAAGAAAACGCTAACTAGAAATCAGTCAAAATACGAACAAAAGATATTCAAAGCACAAACATAAAATATGATCTGAACACAAACAATAAATAAACCAAACACAAGCAAAACAGTACTCAAAAACAAACGAAAATTTGCATCAAACAGAAAAGTACTCAAAACACAAACAGTAAAAATACTCAAAACACAAACAGAAAAGTACTCAAAACACAAACAGTAAAAAATACTCAAAACACAAACAGTAAAAATACTCAAAACACAAACAGTAAAAATACTCAAAACACAAACAGTAAAAAATACTCAAAACACAAACAGTAAAAAATACTCAAAACACAAACAGTAAAAATACTCAAAACACAAACAGTAAAAAATACTCAAAACACAAACAGAAAAAATACTCAAAACACAAACAGTAAAAAATACTCAAAACACAAACAGTAAAAATACTCAAAACACAAACAGTAAAAAATACTCAAAACACAAACAGAAAAAATACTCAAAACACAAACAGTAAAAAATACTCAAAACACAAACAGTAAAAAATACTCAAAACACAAACAGTAAAAATACTCAAAACACAAACAGTAAAAATACTCAAAACACAAACAGAAAAGTACTCAATACAAGCTTCTAGGTGCGTGAGCGAACGGGAGGTGGGGGGTGGGGGTGGGGAGGGGAGGAGTATGTGTGTGTGGGGGTGTGTGGTTACAAAGGGGGGGGGGTTGCGTTTTGAAATGTTCTCTGTTTACTTTATTCTACTTCGTTTTCTTTGTTTTTTTCTTCTTCTCTTTTCTTCTTATACTTTCTTGCGGTTTGTTTGTCTCTCTCTCTCTCTCTCTCTCTCTCTCTCTCTCTCTCTTTCTCTCTTTCTCTCTCTCTCTTTCTCTCTCTCTTTCTCTCTCTCTTTCTCTCTCTCTCTCTTCCTCTTTTTTTTCTCCTCCGGTTTTTCTCTCCCTTCCTTTTTTTCCCTCTCTTTTTTATATTGATTTTAACATGAAAATGTGAACCTGATAGCGATAAGAAACTAACACGCCCACATACATACATACTTAACAAGAAGAATAATAACAACCACAACAAAAACAACAACAAAAACAACAATAAAAGCAACAACAAGAATAACAACAACAGTAACAACAACAACAAATATAACAAGAACAATAGCACAACAGCTAACAACAACAACAACAAGCAATAACAACCACACAACAATAACAATAACAACGACCACCACCACCCCCAACCACCCCCAACCACCACCCCCACCACCCCCAACACCACCACCCCCAACAAACAACAAACAACAACAAACAACAACAACATACCCCATCCAGGCCATGGAATCCCTCGATGTTTAATGTTTGTCTTTTGTTCTCAGGCGGAGTGGAGAGGGTGATGGGGGGTACATCCTAGG